CAATGATTACAAACAAAATACCCACCCACATGCAAAAACAAAACTGAAACCTTTTTATTTTCTACTGACAATCGCACCTCCTAAAGGAAGAAATGCATCTTGTTCTTGCATTGGAGAGTTCAGTTTGTAACCTAGGACTTGCTTGTCCTCAGTGCACAGAAATTAGATCAATCTGATACCATATATATATATATATTTTAGAAATGATTTGGAAAATATTTGAACACCTTGTCTTAAAATATTTTATTCATCATGTTAAAATAAAACGTTCCATAATCAATTTTTTTTTCTTTTCTTTTTTCAATTTTTCCAATTTTTCGGGAAAAAACAAAAAGGCTTCAGGAAAAAAATGGAGGGGAAACGGTTTCTGCCCCGAATTTTTCCTGTTTTTTTCTGGGCCTTCGCATCTCTACGCCCGACTACAGAACTGATAAGGGCTGTGAGAATTTAAAGCAATCAAATAAAGAGATCCTAAGAGCACAAAGCAACCACTCACAGAAGAGTCTACTCAGTGTGTCTCTGTGTGATTTGATGCCCTGGCCATGACTTCTTGGAGGACAGCTTAATCTGGCCCCATCTCTGCACTGGGCAAGATTGGCTCACTCAGTCCTTCAGCATGCAGAGACACAGAGGACATATCTGCTTTCGGAGCAGGCTGCCCATTGTGTCTCTGCATGAGTTACTGCTTCCCCATTCAGAACACTGAGGGGGAGGAGGTTCCTCTGACTGCAGTTAATTCTTTCATGCTTCAAAAGATAGATCTTTTGGGCTGGACGAGGGATATACAACAGCAAAGGAGCTCGCAACGTTTCTTCTCTAGTGTAGTCCTAATCTGAAGGTTAGGCCTGTAGTTCAGCAGTTCGAGACCCGAGTGCAGCATGACGGAGTGAGCTCCCATCTCTGGCCCCAGCTTCTGCCAGCCTAGCAGTTTGAAAGCAAGAAATTGCAAGTAGATAAATAGGTACCACTTCAGTGGGAAGGTAACAGTGTTTCGTGTGCCTCAGCGTCTAGTCATGCTGGCCACATGACCACGGAGACGTCTTCGGACAGCACTGGCTCTTCGGCTTGGAAACGGAGATGAGCACCGCAACACTAGAGTCGGATTCGACTGGCTTTCAAGCAAGGGAAACCTTTACCATTACCTAATCTGAAGGAGGGAAATCCCAAAGAAAAAATACGTGCGTACATGGAACAGGCTTATCCTATGAAAAATGGCTGGCAACTACTCTCTCATCTTTCATGCACCAAAAGATTTAATAGCAAGAAAACAGCACAGCAGAGGTACAAAGGACTTCATTTACATCGCCCTGATACTATATTTGCAAATAACCACATAAAGTGGGTCAGAATAATTAAATCCATATTTTAGATGGGGGGAGGGGCGATTTGCTAAGCCCAAGAATGCTTATGGTAGAGGTAACATCTGAACTGGGAACGTCCCAGTTCATAATTTGGACCATCTACTAAGTTAGAATCTGTGTTCAAAGGATGCCAATCCCCTCTCTTCAAAAGAATTATTACTGAACATGGTATTAAATATTTTATTATTAGATCTTACTCAGTGCCTCAAGGTTTTCTTGGAAATGCAGAATGCAAGTTCTACCAGGGAAGAAGCTCAAGGGCAAAGCATGCACTTGGCACGTGGGAAGTTCCAAAGCCAACCATGGATACCTCCAGGTAAAGTATCTCTGGCAACAGGTTTGGGAAAGCCTTTGCTTTGTCTAAGACCCGGAACAGCCAAATAATTAAACTAATAAATATCGGAAATGAACTTAACTATACCCAAAGGGATAGGGTTTGCTGGGGCCCACTTCCTTTGTCCCAGAAGCAAAGACCCAGTCCTGCCGTCGTCTTTAGGTCTCCTGAGAGTATCCCATAGGAGGATGCTTGGCTTGGGATTTTGCAAGATTACCTATTTATTTAAAACACCAGTACGCTGCCTTTCCATCCACATAAGGTCCCCAAGGCGTCAAACATCAAAATATTAAAAATGTAAGAAGTTAAAACAGCAATTGGACAGCTAAAGTAGTGATTGCACAATCCTGGAAAGCCCAAACTCCCCCCACACTACAGCAGTAGTTACATAAAACTTGGGATTTCTACTTATTAGAAAAAATTTCAATGATTGCTAACAGGGAGGTTGATGATAGCGAACTTTGAAACCCATTAGACAAAAGGTACCCGATATTAGATAAGCTAGACGTTGACAATCTTGATTGGGGAAAACTTGAAAGAAGTTAAATTTAAGTTTTTAACATATGGTTAAGACAAGTCAGTCAACAACAGTTAGGAAAATAGTATGCCTATTAAGATTATATAGTTGAAATTGTAAGTCAGGCGCTTTATGGTTACATCTGCTTGATGTCAATTAAGGACAGTTAGTATATCAGAGGTCAAAAATGTATATGATGAGATTTTATTGTTGTAGGGCAGGGTGAAACAATCTATACTGCAAGATGACGTTCTTTATTTTTGAATTTGCCTACTGCATTTGAGCAGGTATTTTAATAATTTATTTTTGTAAAAAAACCCAGCAATTGGAATACAGTATATCTAAAATATTTAAATAATTAATTTAAGTAGATAAATAGGTACCACTTCGGTGGGAAGGGAACAGCGTTCCGTGCGCCTTGGTGTTTAGTCATGCCGGCCACATGACTACGGAAACGTCTTCGGACAGCGCTGGCTCTTCGGCTTCGAAACGGAGATGAGCACCGCAACCCTAGAGTCGGATTCGACTGGCATTCGAGCAAGGGAGACCTTTACCTATATCTAGAATATTTAAATAATTAATTTTAAAAATATATAACACCACCCACACACATCACAAACAGGGAGGGGGCCAATAAGAATTCGTGAGGGAATGTCAAAGAAAACAAAACAAAAAAAATCTTCCCCTACCGGCAGAAGACAATGGTAGAGGGAGACAGACGAATCTCCCTCTGGAGGGAGTTCCAAAATGTTGGCGCCACAATCAAGAAGACCCTTTTTCGGGTTGGCCCCCGTCTAGCCTCAGATGGCAGGGGCACCGAAAGAAGGGCCAGCCTGTGAAGACGACCAGAGTGGACAAGTAGGTTCGTATGGGAGGTCTTAATGCCATCTGGAAGCCAGTCGGATCCATCAGGTTACAGGGGCAGATCATCTTAGTCGATCCCCCACCCTTGTGGAGTCTTGATATCCCTATAAGTCTAAACCCCAGCAAACAGTGTTCAGTGACTGGACGGAACCCCGGGGCAGCCATTTTGTTGTGTGCACCCGTTGCCTGTTCTCAACATAGCAAAAACGCCCACAAGTTCAATATGTTTGGGGGACTCCTGACCACAGGGATATAGTCAGCCCAGATTATTAGCATTCAGTTCCTTACTCAACCATGATGCCCCCAAGATGACTTTGGACCGGTTGGTCTCTTTCTACCTACCCCGCAGAGAGGGTGTGAGGAAAAAAACTGAACAGGGGAGGATCCGTGTATACTTCCCCGAGCTTCTTGGAGGAAGGGTGAGATAAGAGTGTGATATAAAGAAAATAACTGAAATGGTAGAGTTTGGCCATGAGTAAATTAACAAGACATGTATGAAAAAATACATAATTTTTAAAAAGTGACGATCTTGTCAGCCTTCAATTTCCTCCAGTATGAAAAGGCTAATTCAAGTAAGCCCACAGGGAACTTGTTCATACGTGTGACCTTGGTGTGAACGGATGTTCTGCCCCCAAAATAGCACCAACTGCTGTAACAGTATCTCTCCCTGGCTACAGGCTAAGAAAAACACGGTAAACGCACTGTAGGATCTGTTGTCCCTCAGGGTCGTTCCGCATCCTCTCCCGGAGTGTCTGCAGAGCGAGGTAGCCTGTCGTCTCCCCAAGAACAGCCACCATATCTAAAAAAAAGAGGGGAACCGAAGAGAGAAGAGAGTGAAGAAGAAAGCCCACGATAAGCAGCAACCAACCGGCACATGTTCTAATTTCAAATGCAACAGGGGAAATACTTCATTTGCTTTGGGGTCTCGGAACCTGATCTGCCATGTAATTAAATCAAAAACTGGGGGAAAGGGGGGGGGAGGGAGAAGGGAAAAACTCAACCCAAGATAACACTGCGAACCAGAAGGGTTAAGCTGACCATATATATTATAAAAATACAAAATGTATTAAGGTGTACACATATTAAAATATATTCGGGTTAAATTTTTTTTCAAGTATCAGACTAATAAAAGCATATCAATTATTAATACACATGATGGGTTAACACTTTCCAACTGAAGACCAAACGCGTTTCGGCCTCAAAGGGCCTTCCTCAGTGGTCACTATACAACATAGTATAGACACACATTCAAACATACGTATACTTATTTAACGACTAGATGTTGTATCCTGAAATTATAAAAATAGAGGGGGGAGAAAAGAGGGGAAAGGAAACTCAAATTATTACTACAAATGTATGCCAAATCCTTATTAATTTAAACAATTGATTTTTTTTCAAACTAGAGTTACCTTATATGTTTGCAATTGGGTTGCTGGTATTAATGATGGGCCCTAGGTATGGCCATATTCATTCCAATTATTCTAAATAAAAACCATGAAATGAAATAGTAAAATTATTATATTATTAGTAGTTGGGGGCTTTCGCTCTTTCCTTTCCAAGCCACATCTTTCTCTCTGCTCTACTTGAGTCTTTCCCGAGGAAGGATGCGGCAGAACTCCAAGGCCTTTTCACTGCTTTGCCATTCTATCAGGTAATGCGAAATTAACATAGCGGGGACCATGCCACACAACGTGACGGTGGCCACTTGCTGAGATGAGTTTTAAAAGCGATTAGAGACATTTACAGCTGACTCATCACTGGCTGCCCTAGCAATAGTTGTTAGATGTAGTGACCCCAGAACATGGAACCTCCATGTTCTGAAACACTGTATCTGCAAATACTGGCTGCTGGAAGGCAAACCAAGGAAGAGGGACTACTGCCTTTCTGCCATAAGTAGAACCCTACTAAATCAGATCAGTGGTTCCTCTAGTCCAGCATCCTGTCTCACACAGAGGCCAACCAGTTCCCCCGGAGGGCCAACAACAGGGCACAGAGGCCGAGGCCTTTCCCTGATAAGAACATGAGAAGAGCCCTGCTGGATCAGACCAGTGGTCCATCTAGCCCAGCATCCCATGTCACACAGGGGCCAATCCGTTCCTCTGAAGGACCAAGAATAGGGCATAGAGGCCGAGGCCTTCATTAGAACATAAGAAGAGCCCTGCTGGATCAGACCAATGGTCCCTCTGGTCCAGCATCCTGTCTCACACAGAGGCCAACCAGTTCCTCTGGAGGGCCAACAACAGGGCACAGATGCCAAGGCCATTAGAACATCAGAAGAGCCCTGCTGGATCAGACCAGCGGTCCATCTGGTCCGGCATCCTGTCTCACACTGGGGCCAACAATATGGCCCTGATGTTGCCTCCTGGCACCGGCATTCAGAGGTTGACTGCCTCTCAACGCGGAGGTTCCCCTCCGTCACCATGGCTAGTAGCTTCTATTCAGCTTCCACGATGCTGAGGCTCACCATGCCGGTAAGGATCGTAGAGTGCCATAAACGCTGAGCCAACCATCAGCAGGGCTTTCTGCAGAGGGCTGGTCGGGATGTGGCCCGGGTACAGCGGGTAAGATGCTTCCTCTCTCACAGGGCTGTCGGTAGCTGAAGCCTGGCCAGTGTGGCACAGCTGGCATCTCCTGCCTGAGGAAGAAACCACCCCAGAGGGCAAAGGGTTAGCAGCACCAAGCAAGGGAGTGCTCCAGCAGTTTTGTGCTCTTCACCAATGTCGGTGATGACAACGCTAGTGCGGACTACTCTGTTTGAGAACAATAATTTCTAACGATAGCCGTGCGGTATGCACGGAGAAAAACTAACTTCCCGATTTCTTTAGCGTTGCCCATGTTTGACAATTCATGGAAAGAGGTTATCCATTCCCAAGTAGCTTGGGGACTTTTGACATGGGCTCTACTGCGAAGTATCTGTCAAGTTTAACAGCCCCACATCATCGCAGAGCATACATGCTTGCACGCTTTCATGTTCTGCCATCAGAAGTGCTTTTAGGGAGGCACCGCCAGATACCATATGCAGACAGACTTTGTCCTTGCTCTCTAAAAGATGTAGAATCCACTACACAACATACTTCATTGCCCGCTCTATAGAGATATCCAATCTCGTTTTATTACTCCACTTCTAGAAGGTAATGGAGCTGCGGTGGCTCAGGTGGTTAAGACACTGAACTGCAGGCTGTGGAAGGTCAGTAGTTCAGCAGTTCGAGACCTGGGAGCCGCATGATGGAGTGAGCTCCCGTCTCTAGCTCCAGCTCCTGCCAACCTAGCAGTTCGAAAGCAAGAAATTGCAAGTAGATAAATAGGTACCACTTCAGTGGGAAGGCAACAGCGTTTCGTGTGCCTCAGCGTCTAGTCATGCCGGCCACATGACCACGGAGACGTCTTCGGACAGCGCTGGCTCTTCAGCTTTGAAACGGAGATGAGCACCGCAACCCTAGAGTCGGATTCGACTGGCTTTCGAGCAAGGGAACCTTTACCTTAGAAGGTAAGAGCTGGCATTCTGATGACTCAATTGTTCACTTTCTTCTGTTCCATTCTAATTGTGAAATAATGGAGGCTGTTGCAAAAATTTTATATTATGCAATCAGAAGACGAGGCTTGAATAGCCAAGTGTGACTGATGCATCTTAGTATTTTCCCGTAGTTCCATGATGTTTTGTGCTTAAATGCCAATAAAGGCTTTG